TTGGATTCTTTATTCATAGTATTCGTCTTTCTTACCACAGGGAGAGCAATCTCGGAGGAAAATAAGGCGAGAAAGATCACCAAGCACCGGTATTTCTTCCTGAAAAAGAACACAACCCAAGTAATTGTATGCTTCAATGTTTACAACTACTTAAAGCTAATGACTTCTTGTTCTTGGTAGGTGAAAGACCTTCATCTCAAACCACGCCTCCTGTTAGAGGTGAAAATGAGAAAGCCGATGTGACCATGGGGACTCCCGTAATGCCCACAACAATGGGTTTCCAAAACTCTGCTGGCATGAACGGTGTCCCACAGCCATGGGTACAGTATTCTCTAGCTCGTTGAATTCATTTTATTCGTGATATCCTCCTTTTGTTTGTTTATTGGTGTTTGTGTGTGTTTATCTGCAGAATGAAAAAGAGGTTAAACGAGAGAAGAGAAAACAGTCAAACCGAGAATCTGCTAGAAGGTCGAGACTGAGGAAGCAGGTGCTTGCTACACTTTAGTAACTAAAGACTAATGATGGGAGCTATTAGATTTTCATATTAACTTAATGGATTGTGTGTTGTTCACATAGGCTGAAACTGAACAACTATCTGTCAAAGTTGACGCACTTGTAGCTGAGAACATGACTCTGAGGTCCAAACTAGGCCAGCTAAAAAATGAGTCTGAGAAACTGCGGCTGGAGAACGAAGCTTTATTGGTAACAATCTATTCGCATTTTTAACAAAATCATAAGTGTATGGATCAATAATAACATAAGTTATTCCTCTCCAGCATCAACTGAAAGCGCAAGCAACTGGGAAAACAGAGAACCTTATCTCTCGAGTTGATAAGAACAACTCTGTATCAGGTAGCAAAAATGTGCAGCATCAACTGTTAAATGCAAGTCCAATAACTGATCCTGTCGCGGCCAGCTGACGGTGGCCGCAACAATGAGAGCCCGATATTTCTTCCTTTGGGTTGTGATTGTAACTTAAAAGGAGACTTTTTTTTCGTTTTTTCTTAGATTTGTAGCTCTCTGCATAGTGAGCAGAAATTGATGTAATATCGTTAAAAGATTCGGTGTTGTCTGGTGTATTACTGCGACCACTTGATTGGTGATAGGTAGGTTTAGTTATATAAGCGAATGGATTAGAGGTAAGGGGAGGCATATTTGATGGTCTTTCGTTTCGTAATCGCTTGTGTATTCTTCTTTAATATATACACTTTTCGTATGTGAAATTTAACTTTTACGTATCCTTTTTAAGATTATCTCATTATTATTCTTCAAAATCGACGTGCTTCCCTTAATCGGTAAACGTGAGTGCGTGACGACGAGTTTTATACTTTTGACAGATAATTACTAATATTACACCATTTTCAGATATGTGTTACTCAATCGCATAAATTGTAAATATTTTATAGATAATGAAAAACTGTTTACAATGCAAATATTTGAAACCTATAGACATAGTTCCATGACAAAAAAGAGTCGTAAATATTTGAAAGCTATCCAGAAGTGGTATAAGAAACACAATCAGAACAACCAAAAGGAAAAACTGGATCAGGCCTTGACAGACACAACCCCGGATCTAGCTCTTATACAGACACTCTCACAATCTCTGAGAGAAACTTATGAGGCAGAGGAGAATTATTGGAGACAAAGAAGCCGTCAACTTTGGCTAGCTCTTGGAGATCGAAACTCATCTTACTTCCACGCAACCACAAGAGGAAGAAGAGCCCTTAACCGGTTCTCCGTGATAGAAAACGATGATGGCACTGTCTTTTTCGAAGAGGAACACATCACTGCAGTCATCTCGGAATATTTTTCAAATATTTACAGCTCCCAACCAAAGGAATCTTCGGGGATCATACATAAAGCTATAAAGTGTGTAGTAACAGAAGAGATGAATCGATCACTGCTTCAAATGCCTAGTGTAGAAGAGATTAAGAATGCATGTTTCTCTATTCACGGTGATAAAGCTCCAGGCCCGGATGGTTTCACAGCTTGCTTCTTCCAATCGAATTGGAAAACAATGGAAAAGGAAATTGTTGCTGAAATCAGGAATTTCTTTGATACTGGAATTCTTCCTGCTGAGGTAAATAAGACGCATATAAGGCTGATTCCAAAGATCCAGAACCCTCAGAAAGTCAAAGATTATCGACCCATCGCCTTATGCAGCGTTTACTACAAAATATATTCAAAGCTGCTCACAAAAAGGCTGCAACCATTCCTCAACTTACTGATCTCAGAAAATGAGACAGCTTTTGTTCCGGGAAGAGCCATCTCCGATAACGTCTTGATTACTCATGAGCTCCTCCATACCCTGCAGAAATCACAAGCAACAAAGAGATGCTCAATGGCGATTAAAACTGACATGACTAAAGCTTATGATCGCCTTGAATGGGATTTTATCCAAAAAGTACTTCATCAGATGGGTTTTGATAAAAGATGGATTCGCTGGGTGATGCAGGCTGTTACAACTGTAACTTACTCCTTCCTTATCAATGGTAAACCGCGGGGATCTGTCTCACCGCAACGTGGTATTCGCCAAGGTGATCCGTTGTCTCCTTTCCTCTTCATTATTTACAGCAGTGTGCTTTCCGGCCTTTGTCAAATCGCACAGGATGAAGGGAAGTTAAGAGGACTTCATATATCAAGATCCGGCCCGGCGGTAAATCACCTACTTTTTGCCGATGATACTATGCTATTTGCGCGAACAGATGAACAAAGTTGCTCTACCCTAAAACGCATAATCACAGAATATGAAGAAGCGTCTGGCCAGCTCATCAACAAAGACAAATCTTCAATTACCTTCTCACCAAAAACAAGCCAAGACATTAGAAACAGAGTGAAGCATCAGCTTGGTATCACAAAAGAAGGCGGAACCGGAAAGTATCTCGGACTACCTGAACTCTTTGGCAGGAAAAAGAGAGACCGTTTTGAGTCAATTGTAACACGGATAAAGACGAAAGCAGCAAGCTGGTCATCGAAGAGATTATCTGCAGCTGGAAAGTTGACTATGCTCAAATCAGTCTTAACAGCAATTCCCTCATACTCAATGTCCTGTTTTCTACTTCCGATAGGCTTATGCAAGTGAATCCAATCGGTTTTGACTCGTTTCTTCTGGGACAGTAAACAGGAAAAGAAAGGAATGGCTTGGGTATCCTTTAACTCTCTAACTCAATCAAAAGACAATGGAGGACTTGGAATTAGAGAGATACAAAGCTTCAATGAAGCCCTCCTAGCCAAGCTCAGCTGGCGACTCATCAACAATCCAACCAGCCTCTTATCTAGAATGCTCCTTGCTAAATACTGTCGTAACAGGCCGTTTATGGAGGTAACTCCAAAACCTTCTTCTTCTCATGGATGGAAAGGTATATTGGCTGGTCGAGATTTGTTAAGGGAAGGAATGGGAATTGCGATTGGAAATGGGCAAACCACAAATGTATGGCGAGACCCCTGGACAGCTATGATATCTCCTGGCATAACTACAGGACCAGCCCCGGGCCAGCAAGCAAATTTGATGGTGGCTGACCTCATAGACGAGACTACCAAAGAATGGAATGTGGGACAACTCCAAGCTCTCTTCCCAACAATCTGGACAGATATTATGCAACTAAGGCCGAGTAAATCGATTCTCCTGACAAACCAGTATGGTTACATACCAAAGATGGTAACTATTCAACACGATCGGGCTACTACAAAGCAGTGGAAAACCGTTCTGGGGACCATGAAGCAGTTCCAAATCAGAGTTTTGTTTGGAAGAAAGAAATCTGGAATTTGAAATGCTCCCCAAAGATTCACATGTTTCTTTGGCGAGCAGCAAGAGGCACTCTACCAGTGGGAACAAATCTGCTCAGAAGGAAGGTCACCAATACCGCCACTTGCTTAAGATGTGGAGAAGAGGAATCAAAGCTGCATCTTCTTTTCCAATGTACGTTTGCACGAGAGGTATGGCAAAAGGCTCCTTTACATGCCCCAGTTTTTGTGGCCTCTATCACAGAACTGAAACAAGGGATCTCCCTATGCAATTCGCTGCAAAAATCGCCAGCAGCATCAACAAGCAATGTCGCTACAGCTCCCTGGCTCTTATGGTCCCTCTGGTCCAGCCGGAATAAGCTGATTTTTGACAAACGCTTTATATCTGAGGAGGAAACTATACTTACAGCGATTTCAGCAGAGGACGAGTGGAAGAAGGCACAACTGGTGCAAAAGTCTGATACGGAGAGGACTTTAAATACTTCAGCAAACAACACCATCCGACAAAAAACAGACCATGAAGAAATCCCACCAGGTACCCTCTTTGTTCAAACAGATGCAGCATGGATAGAACACAACAAGAATGCGGGATTGGGCTGGGTTTGTTTGAGTAGTAACTGGGCTGTAAGAGCTCGAAGCTGTAAACCGGTCCCCTTCGTCAAAGGTCCGAGTGAAGCTGAAGCCATATGCATCTATGAGGCCCTCTTATCTCTCCAAACACAACAAGAATCAAAGATCATCATTGAATCAGATGCAAAAAGTGTCATCATGGCCATTGCCTCAAAACAGCCACCGCTCAACTTGAAAGGGATCATTGAAGACATCCTCCACATTGCCAAATCCTTTTGCTCACTGTCTTTTAGATTTATCCCAAGATCCGAAAATCTTATTGCTGACGATCTTGCAAAAACAGCCGCTAGGTCGATGACCTCAGGCCCAATAAATTTGTATTTTGTGAGATTCCTCGTAAATAGAATATTAAAATTGGCCGGATTAATTCCTTATTTGTCATTGTTCAGTTTCTTGGGATGTTGTGATTACTGGAATAATGCATGTTCTAAGAAAAATTTGTATAAAAAAATATGGAAGTCATAAAGACATCTATACACAAATGGGTTCAGTATCTTTACTCATGACAAAGTCCAAATACTGCCGTTGGTATATTTAAAAACATTGAGCAATTCACATTACAGAGAGCCAAACTAATTTCAGTGAGTGGCCAAAGTGTCGGAAAAATCAAATTATTATTGTGTTTGTTGGTAGGACAAGCTGACAAGCACAAGACTTATTTTTTATAGACAAAATCATAACATTTTAATATTTTATAAGGTAATGAAAGACTATTCAAAATGTAATCTTAATTTCATTTTGTGATAATAGTTAACATTACATGGAGAAGAACAGAGATCATCAAAGAAGTTCAACGACCACCACCCGCGACGAAGATATGGCGGCAGAAACTCTACTTAAACCGGTGCTTCAAAAACCACCAGGCTATCGTGAGCTCCATTCGCAACCTCAAACTCCACTCGGATCATCATCATCATCAACGCTTCGTCGCCCACCAAAACATGCGATCCCGGCGTCATTTTACCCGACGAAGAAGAAACAATGGAGTCGTTGCCGCGTCTTTTGCTGCTGCGTCTGCATCACCGTCGCAATTGTCATCCTCCTCCTTATCCTCACCGTCTCCGTCTTCTTCCTTTATTACAGCCCGAGACTCCCCGTCGTACGTCTCTCCTCCTTCCGCGTCAGCAATTTCAACTTTTCCGGTGGAAAACCCGGCGACGGTTTATCGCACCTGACGGCGGAGGCGACGGCGAGGCTCGATTTCAGAAACCCTAACGGGAAGTTGCGTTACTATTACGGTAACGTTGACGTGGCGGTGAGTGTTGGAGAAGGTGATTTTGAAACGAGCCTAGGGTCGACGAAAGTCAAAGGGTTTGTGGAGAAGCCAGGGAATCGGACGGTTGTGATTGTTCCGATAAAAGTGAAGAAACAACAGGTGGATGATCCGACGGTTAAGAGGCTTAGAGCGGAGATGAAGAGTAAGAAGTTGGTGGTGAAAGTGACGGCTAAGACGAAGGTGGGATTGGGTGTGGGAAGGCGTAAGATTGTTACGGTGGGGGTTACTATCAGTTGCGGTGGCGTGACATTACAAACGCTTGATTCGAAGATGACTAAATGCACCATTAAAATGCTTAAATGGTACGTACCTATCAAAAGTTTAAATGTCGATTTTAGTGTTCATCTTGGAAATTAAAATATTAATGTTGTGTATATAATATCAATGCAGGATTAAATTGCACTCATAAGTAATGATGATTGATTGATGTGTCTTTTTCGTCGGGATTCAAAACGTGGCGAAAAGTTGAGCTTTACGAATGATCACTGTGTATGTATTTGTATTTTTCTTTTCCCTTCTTGTTTTCACTTTTCATATATAATTACGATCCAATATGCAATAATCTTTACATTATTTTACTAAATATGTATTCTTAGGATGTAGAGAAAATATTCTCCAATTATGAAGTTTGTTTCCTAGGAATGGATATAGATATTATTATGAAGTTGGCTGTGTCTTTGTTCAACAATTCGCGCACACATGAAATTTGCCTTACACCTTTAGTCCTTTACATGATACAAATTCATAAGCCAAGTACAGAATCGCAGAATTATTCAACTAAATCGCAAAGTAACCAATAAGAGTCATAACAACAGTGTAAATAATTGAATGAGAAAAGAGCAGCCCAAACATGTTGTAGCACAAACTGCAGTACCAAATGTAGTTGGCCACTGACTTATTTGATTCAGCATAAAAGCATAAACCCAATCATCTATAAGTAGAAGAGAAAAAAAAAAAAAAAAAGAGTTTGGCTAAGCCCTATAGCCTTTTATCCTTCCCACCGGATGTTGAAAGGAGATAAATAAAGCCCCCTAAATTTGTTGAACTTCTCTTCTGTCTCCTCTGGCTACAAAAATAGAAGTGCGTTTTCTTGTCGGCGAAACGTATTGAGATATCAAATGTGACTCAGTCTGATATCCTAAACTCCACTCCTAAAACTTCTTTCACCATCTCATATGTCACAAATGCAATCGCAATGGATGGTACAACCTATATAAGAAACACAAACAACATTTAACTTCCATGAGAAAAATTGGTTCATCTAATAAGAAGATCAAGATATAGGGCTTTGTTATCAGACAAACCTTCACTGAATTGGGGACCAAACCCTTGTACAATGCTCCGAAGCCTTCATGACGAACTGTTTTTCTAAATGCATCCATCATACCAGTGTATTCAAGCAAAGCTTTGCTTCTCCCTTCGCCTGTAACAACAGCGGAAGCATCTTTCCACCCGACCATTTGCATTCTCCTACGAATCACATCCAGTGGATAAGCAATTGATTGACCAACTGTTCCAGCTATTGCACCACAAGTGAGCCTCGTTACAATGGTCAGGTCATTGTTTTGTACAAGACCGAATGGGTTGTCTTTAAGTAGCCAGTCCTTTAGAGTCTCATAGACCGCAAAGTTCAAGCCCACATATGGAACCTGCATTATTTATCAAAAGGCTCTCATCAACTCGTAAAAATTTGTAGTATTAAATTCGATTGAGTGGAAAAAAAAAACACAAGACTTACAACGCCAATTACTGATGGAAGCCAACCACGGTACAAGGCCCGTGGACCTTCCTCTCGCAGGACAGTTGACAAAGCATGGGCAATTCCTCTATATTGATAAGGAGAATTTGCGGTCTGTGCACATACCCATATTTGCAGAGTTACAAAGATGAGCAATAAGGCTCTGGCAATTACAAACTTGGGGTACGAAAAGCTACCTGGACAGTTAGCCTTCCACGAACCATATCCATCGGGTACGTTGCAGACATGGCTATTATCCCAGCGGTTGCACCAGCTCCAAGCCGTAAAAGAGGAGTAAGTTGGGCATTTTCTGCAGAAACGGCATAAACCCGTGAACCATAAAAACTTACAAACAATGAGCCCTATTGTTTGCACCATCAATGTGGAAGGCTAGTGATATCAGTTCAACATAGCTCAAAAGGCTCAATATAGAAACTTAAATGAAAGGCTGAAGCGATATGTAATAATACCATGCACAGATTCTTCAACAGGAATAATAAAAATCTTATGCTGAAATCAATTTACCATTTCCCGTCCGCTGACGATACATGTACAGAATGCCCCTACGAGAGAGAGAAAAGCATATATTAGAAAAGATCTATAGTATCAAGTATGGTGCCTTCTCTAAAATCAAGATAACAGAGTAAAGAGAAGATTAGAAGTCTTACTTTGAAGCTTGCTCATAGCTGAAAAATTTCACAGCCGAATTTGGAACAATACGAGCACAGTTGGTGCCATTTCCTTTGAACAGTCCACGAAGGCCCTCGGTCCTCCAAATATACTTCAGCCCTTGGACTGTGCCACTGTACTTTATACTATGCGGATTTTGGACCTAGAGATTGACAATGAACATGTTAACTCTCCAGTCATTTAAGGGTCCCTAAACAAAAGCTATCAACAAAGGAAAAAACCTGAAGTAAAATCTTCATCCTTTCCAAAGGTGCAACAGCAGTTCGTGACCTAATAGAAAGAAGCATCAAGCGGTGACATGTTAACAAAAGAAACAAAAATGTAACACAAAGACTCAAAGAAAAAGTGACTAGCTGATTTTTCTTTTACATGGTAATCACAGGACTCCACCTAAATCGAGTAAAGACGGCTTTTTTCTGCTCCTCTTATCCTTTGGACATAAGCCCGTATCTATATTTGACTGCTTCAACACGAATTTCGATCTCAACGGAAAAAAAAAAAAAAGTAACTGACTTGAAGTACTACATTAATCGTCAGCATTCAGCAACCAGATCAATATCAATAAAGTTGTGATTTTTAAACCTAGGACGAAACAAACAATAACACTGAAAAAATGGACAAAACTCTATGAGTTCTCAATTCTAATTTGACGTTGTCGAACAATTGTATAGTCAGTCCCACTAAACATTTCAGGAGATGTTTCGTTATTAATCCCAAAATTCATCAAAATTATAAAACAGTGAAGGAATGAGAAAAAGGACTCACACTCCACCAGCGACACCACCGGCAAAAAGAGACTTGCAGATGCTTTTAAAAGCATAACTCGGAGCTTTGACTCCTTCCCTCGCTTCCTCCGCCAGATTTACGATCGTTGAAACAGCTGCTGATTCAGTTCTTTTCACATCCTCTGATGCCATCGATTGACAGAGACGATTCACGAAGAAACCGCAATCAGTGTAATACCCCACACCAACACGCTTACGATCCCTAGAGATTTCTTCACAAGTTTCTTTCTTTAACAAAAATCTTCTTCGATCTCGAAACCCTAACAGAAATCTCCGATTAGAAGTGAGTGGAGAAGAGAGATCAAAGCACTTCTCGAAAGCACAAATCTAAGCCCCTTTCTCTCTTTTGTGTCCCGGCGGCGATGATAAAAGCCAAAGGACACACAACCTACTGATTAAGTCTGAACCATGACGACGCCGTTTTAATGGCACCTTTTGTTGTGAAAATTTGCAAAACCAATCCCTTGACTTAACTATTGTTTTTAAAATAACCCTTTTACTTCGAAACGTGCAAAATCATTATTCATTTGATTAAAAATCTGCACGTCAACGGTGAAGTTGAGTGTGTGGGTGTGGCGATTGGTAGCCGCATTTGTGATTTTTGTTTTTCGTCGTATTTAATTATATGTTCAACGTCACCTATCTCTTAAGTGCTTAAAAGGTTAAAGATTTAAACTATAATACACTTGAATATTATATTTAAGAGGTTAAGAATCTTTTTAAAAATAGACAAACAGTTTTAAAATGTTGTACACTCGAATTTCGACACTCTCGTTATTCAATTATTAAAGAGGTTAGTTCAGAAAAGAAAAAAAAGTTGAAGAATTTTAATTTAAGTCAAGGGGTATATGCAGAAACAATTGTTAGTTTAAGGATTTGTTTGCAAAGTTTTCTTATGCTGTGGTACCATCAGGTGTTATCCAACGCGCGTCACTAAGCGCGTAAGATATACTCTCCTCATATATGTACGCCACGTGATGAAGGTACAACTGTGTTAGTGCTTGATCCCGTTTGGTCAGTCTGATCCGTTTGTTTGGTCACTTCTTTGTAGTAAGTTTCGTAACCACATAAATATTGGGACTAAAAAGTCAAATCAAAAAATTTCTGATACTGACCAAACGGAATCATTTTAATTTCTGATAATTTATCTAAAAAATATTTCTGATTTTGACAAAAAATTTTGATCAAAAAAAAAGAAAAGAAATAAATTTCTGATAATTTTAATTTTCAAATATTTTCACCTATTGGAGGTTACCACCCCTTCTCTGAAGGAGAAAGAGAAAAATATTGTTACGCATGGATTTTGGAGTTCATATGGAAAGATAGGAATAAAAAGGTTTTCAAGAGATTACAATTTGAACCCATAGATATCGTAAATCATACTCTAAGTAACAATTAATGTAGGAAAAAGCTAAATTGAATCCGATTGAATCTTTTGCTTTTAGGGAAACTTTGGATGGTCCAATTCAAACGATTAGATCTCGGACTGATGGCTCATGGAAATGTTCGGATCCAACTATGGGTCTTGGTTGGTGTTTTCAAGGAAATGATCATACAATACTGTTTGGTGCTAAGTGTCTTCCCAAGTGTTTTCCCCCCTTCACTCGGAGTTTAGAAGCTTTAATTTGGGCTATGGAAACTATCATTTCAAGAAAGATTGATTGTCAAGCGTTTGAAACAAATTGTTCAGAGTTAGTCTTGATGGTTCAGTCCACTGAAGAATGACCCGCTTTCTCTAATCTGCTAAATGATTTTGGTTTGCTCCGTGTTTCTTTTCCCCTTTTCTCACTTTCTTCTATTTCTCGTTTATGTAATTCTAAGACGGATTGTTTAGCTCGATCTTCTAGACTTCTACTTTCGGAAGTTATTTTTGTAAACTTTTTTCTTCTTGATTATGCAACCATTAATGGAGTTATTTTTTAAAGGGTATCTATAAGAAGTATACATGGAAGAATAGAAAATTAACTGACACATTTGTGTCACTATTTACACAGTACATTAGCAAAGAAAATTACATCATTATCCTTATGTTCTTTTATCTTTCATCTTTATCTTCTTTTCATCGTTCTCTTCTCTTCATTTGTTTCTTCTGAATCTTCTCATCATCATCATTTTTTTTGTGTTTTTTCGTGTCTATCAAAGAATTGATTAGATGGATCGTCTCATCTTGGTTGTGATTTTGAAATCCGGCGGAGTAGTTCAATTCCAACGATGAAAGTGATTATAATGATGGTGGTTCAATTCCGATGGTGAAAATAGATTACGATACAATAATATGAAAGTTCACGGTGGTGATGGTGATAATTATATGGTGGCACTGATGATTATATGGTGGTTGTAAAATTGGGAGAAGACAAGGAAACCATGGGAGGTGATACCGACATAAAAGAATATGGTTGCGGTGATGATTTTATCCGTAGCGGAGATAATAATTATGGTGTGGGTTTGCGGTAGAGGAAAAAAAATGGTTCTGAAATGATGGGGTGAGAAGAATACGACGGAGATGTGGTGGTTGAAGATTACAACAATGGTAGTTTTTGTTCAGATTCAAATTGGTTAACAATCAAATTACCGAGTTAACTAAAATTTTATCTAGAGGTAGGTGATAATAATAATCTTATTGGATGAAATTCATATTTTGCACGTTAAAGTAACTCGTTAAATTTTTATATATGATATAATAAATTAGTTAATACGGTAAATATAAATATATCACATAAGTTCTAACTTATCGCGATAGAAGATGACTTAGCATGATATAATTATAAACTTATTGATATAAATATTTTGTTATCATGTTAACCTAATAAATATTACCGAGATATTTGATAAATAGTGAAGATACAAAAACGTTGATATCTAATTCATACATATCTAATTCATATAAGAAATGTCGATATCTATTTTATTATGACGTTAACTAGTTTGTTATATGTGGAGGGGTATTTTCGTCCAACTTACATAAATTGAAGAGAGATAACTAATAATAAAAAAACTAAAGGTATATTCTTAATTTTTAAATCTTCTGTGTATTTAAATTAATATAGCCCTTTTTAAAATTAATGTATAGTTGGAAAAAAAATAATATCTATTTTCACGATATGTACTCCACATATTTTAAGATTAGTTTTGTAGTAGTTAAAAATTTGTATTTTTTTATCAAAATATTGTTGGGCTTAATATGGAAAGAATGACAAAAAGATAATAATTTTTGGGTGAATTAAATATTTATACACGGTTGACCAAAAAATTAGATTTCAGAACATGATAATTTCAAAATTAAGTAATTATGAAAGATAAAGAAACTACAAACCAAAAATATCCTTCTTCTGTTGATTTATTACAAAAGTGCCATTGAATTAAAAATTGTTTTATTATTTCAGTTTCTCATCGATACTGTTCACTTAGACGTCGATGACACTGTTCATTTCGAAGTTGATGATACTGTTCATCGTAGGATAGTGTAAAACATTTGTGATTTGTGTAGATAACTATTTTATTACCTGATATATAATATAGTATCGTGATAAGTTAAATGATTATCTATTGGTTTAACACGATAACAAAATATATATCAATAAGTTTATAAATATATCGTGTTAAAACATATTGTATCTCGATAAGTTTATAATTGATATGATAAAGTTTATATTATCATAGAAAATATTTATGGTAAAATAGTAGATATATATATAATATTTATATTACCGTGTATAACGATGTTAACATGATAACAATAAAAGTAACAAGTGTTATTCTAGTTCTGGTCACCGACGAAGCAAACCCATAAAACAACATAATTAAGTTTTTTGGCCGCCACTGTCAAATCTTCAATCATCACAGCTCCTCCGTCCCTATCTTCGTCTCAACTCACCACTCCATTTGATCCAACAATAATTGATAACGAGGTTAACGTAATAACGATGAAAATAACTAGCAATAAAAAATAACAAGTTTTGTTGTAGATCTGCTCACCGATAAGATAGACGGAAAAGACGGCGACGATTATAAAACTCTTAAGCCATCTCACCTTCACCGACGCCATCACCATAAAATCCCTTTAGCTTTTCGCACCTCTCCGACGTTATCTCAATCCACGATTTTATTCACATCACCTTCTTTTTTCCCAAATTCACCACCACCGATAATATAATCATCATCACTATCGTCGTAAATACCATCTCCACCATCGTTAAGAACCCAATAGTTTAAATAGGAATAAGCACCACTTACAATCACCACCGCAGCGGCCATCACTGAATCGGACTAGAAACCACCACAAAATCAAATCGACTATGCATCTTTTAAACACACAAGTTTGTCTCCTCTCTTCCTCCTACATCATCACCACCGTCTTCTACTCTTTTGTTGTCATCACCATCAAGTTCTACAATTTTATTTTAGAACGATTTATTGAAAATTGTTTGTATTTGGCTGTTAGAATTTTTGTTCATGTCAATTTTGATGAACACTTCGACAGAGAATGGGGAAAGGAGAGAAAAAAACTGAAAAATTAAATAATTTTTTTTTAAAATGAGGACAACAATGTAAAATCCTTTACACAACATCTGACAAAACAGTGTTCATTTGTGTCAGTTAATTTTTGAGTCTTCCATGGGTACAGATTGATAATACCCATAATTTTTCCCAAAATATTTTCTTTTTTGTAAGTAAAGCAAAGAGACCCTAACTTTTCCCTGGAGGAAATCATGTAATGTATAAGAAAATGGGTATCTACAACAAATGACCATAGAAGATCCATTAATTAGTTCTCTCTCTTATGTACTATTTGACATAAACTGTATATAGGTACAAAGACAAATCTGTCCTCACTTCTCTTATCTCTTCTCTTTCATTGTTTCTTTTTTTCCGACGAGATCAAAAATTTTACGATGCCAAGGGAACAATTTAAATCAGAAAAAAAATCTTAGAGAATCAAAATTGGGTGGAGAAATAAAACCGGTGAGTTGTGTTCATATGTGATAATGATACTTTTGAATCGGCGAAGACGAAATCCAAGTCTGATTTAGTTAAGATGAAAATCAAGGCAAGTATGGTGGTTTTGTTTTTAGGCAAAAGTGGTTAAGTTTTACTAGTGTAAAAATGGTGGTAAGTGATGGTGGTTCCAATTTGACGAACAAGCAATTTACTGGTGATGATGTTGTTGATGTTGATTCGAGCGGGGATGGTCATGAAGCCATTGACGATGATGATGATGACGTTGCAGCTTCTTCACATATGGAGCTCGATTCGGCGGTTACAAATGATGATGGTGATGTTAGGGTTTCTGAGAGTGAGAGATCGGAGTAAAATGGTGTCGTAGGGAGTGAAGAAGAAGATGATATGAGTTACATGTCCTAAATAATTTGTTAACTGGATTTTGATGAGGTTTATTAA